CCAGGGTCCCCCGCCCAGCCCTGCGGCTCCGCCAGGTCTCGGGCTGCGTGAGGTCCGGACGCCACCTCCTGGCCCAGCCGCTGCCTTCTGCTCACCGGGCCGGTTTCACCAGCGGGGGCCAAGGCGGGGGGAGGTGATTGCTAGGCAACCTGGCCTTTGTTTCCCGGGTAACGAGATGCTGCTCTGATGCTGTGGACGGGCATCTCATGGTATCGGCCCCGCCTCTCGGACGCCTGCCTGGTGCCCACCTTTCCTGGCGCAGTGTTTTAACCAACAACTCAGGTTTCTTATGGCCGTGAACTCTGCAAACCTTGTCCCATGGACCTCCTTCCTGTGGGGTCCAATCCGTGCTCTCACCCTGTGGGAGGCCCGGGGCAGCGTGGAGGGGCTGGGGGGTGGCCGTCTCACCATTTCTTGGCAGACGTGGGAGGGAGCTAGTGGCCGGCAGGGGGGGGGCGGCAGCGCCCTTTAGCTCCTCCTCCGGCACGTCCTGCCCTCCGCCCGTCCCCTCGGCGGCTGAGGGCGTGGTGTGAGGGAGGTGGAAGGTGGCTCCACGTGACTCTTCCGTCCCCAGAGGGCTGGGTCTAGGGGCCTGTCTTCCGGAGACCCGCCCGTTCACACGCACACCTGGGCCTCACGGGCCGGCCAGCCGGGGGTTCGAGGCGGCGGTCCCCGTCCTGCCCGGTGCAGGGATGTGGGGGCCACGTCACTGGGCGTCTGCTCTGGGCGCCCGGTCCTGGGGAGGCAGTTGGCAGGAGGGACCCTGACTGCTTGAGGGCCCGCCCCTCCCCGAGGCCAGAACAGGGGCCTGTCTGCGCGGTCAGCGGCTGTGCGGGGGCCGCCGCGGTGCAGGGCAGAGGCCACGGGGCTGACCGTGCGGTGACGAGCCGGGGGCCACGGAGGCGCGTGGCCTTGTTGGGATTCCTTGGCCCGAGTTCCATGAGCTTTCGCTCATGTGGCTTTCGCTCCGTGGCTCCTGCCGGCTCCGTGTGAGGGTGTCACCGGCACGGGGCCCAGCCTGGACCCACCGAGGCCCAGCAGGCGGCATCCGGCCTTCTCCAGTCCAGCCCCTCGGTCCCAGCGCCGCCCTGCTGGCTGTGCGGCCTGCAGCCTCACGGGGCGGCCCCACGGGCGGGGGGGTGGGCGGGCGGAGGGGCAGGCGGCGGAGGCACGGACACGCCTCGCTGCCACGGGGTGAGGGACGCCCTCCGCTGCCCACCAGCCCTGCCGCTCCCCAGGTATCCGCCCCCAGATCATGAACGGCCCCCTGCACCCCCGGCCCCTGGTGGCGCTGCTGGACGGCCGTGACTGCACCGTGGAGATGCCCATCCTCAAGGACCTGGCCACCGTGGCCTTCTGCGACGCGCAGTCCACACAGGAGATCCACGAGAAGGTGGGACCGGCCCGCAGGCCTGGCTGTGCCTCTCCCCGCCCCGCCCCTCCCCGCCCCTCCCCGCCCGCCCCGTGTGGCCAGAGGCACCAGCAGCCCCTGTCCTTGTGCCCCGCCTGCCGGGCGCCGGGCCCTGGCTGCAGCTCTGTGCCCGCAGGTGCTGAACGAGGCCGTGGGCGCCATGATGTACCACACCATCACCCTCACACGAGAGGACCTGGAGAAGTTCAAGGCCCTGAGGGTGATCGTGCGGATAGGGAGCGGCTACGACAACGTGGACATCAAGGCGGCCGGCGAGCTGGGTGAGTGGGCAGCCGCGCGGGCCGGGGGCAGCTCAGAGGACAGGGCCTGCGGGTGCAGAGGTGCACCGGGCGCCCCGCCTCCCGGCGGCTGCCGCGTGGGGTCTGGGCCTCCCCAGGGGAGGGCGAGGCGCCGGGGGAACAGCCGGCTGCTGGGGGCTCCAGGGGCTCAGCCCAGGCCTGTGGCCCTCGGAGAGGCCCCGAGGTGTGGCCTCGGGGCGTCCTGTGCTGCCGGTAGGGCCTTGGCCTCGGCCTCTGCTCCCTGCAGGCTGGGCCTGCCATGCACTGCCCCAGTCCTCAGCCCTCAGCCCTAGGGTGCTGCCTGTGGTCCCCAATGTGGCCCTGAGGGGCCTGTGAGCGAGGCCTCCATGCTGCCCGGGCGGCTGCGCCCTCAGAAGCTGCTTCACTGGCCTCTGCGCCCCCTGCCCCGGCCCCGCTCTGACCCCAGGCCCTGCCTCCTCCAGGGATCGCCGTGTGCAACATCCCGTCGGCGGCCGTGGAGGAGACGGCAGACTCCACCCTCTGCCACATCCTCAACCTGTACCGGAGGAACACGTGGCTGTACCAGGCGCTGCGGGAGGGCACGCGGGTGCAGAGCGTGGAGCAGATCCGCGAGGTGGCCTCGGGGGCAGCCCGCGTCCGCGGGGAGACGCTGGGCCTCATCGGCTTCGGTACGTGCAGGGCCCTGCGGCCCCGGGACTGGAGTCTGCTGTCTGCAGGCGGCTGGGCAGCAGGAAGGTGCTGGGTCTGCCAGTTCCCGTGGGCACAGTGCCCCGGGGCTCCAATAGGGTCTGCTGGCGGGCGGGGCGGCCCGGAGCCAGGAGGCCTCAGCGTGAGTCAGAGTTGTCCATGGTGACACGGCTGCTGGCCACACGTAGCGTTTGGGAGGGGCTCTGTGACCCTGAGGGTTACTGACCTCCGCCTGGTCCCTGGTCTGTAAGCTGGGGAGGCAGTGAGGCCCGCTGCTGCCTCTCGGGACTGGGAGGGGGTGTGACGCACGCATGCGGGCGGTGAGTGCCGGCCTGGCTGTCAGAAGGCTCAGGCTGTCTCTGGGGCTGAGGGTCAGGCCGAGGGGGTGGCTGTGGGGTGGGAGAGCTGCACACCTGTCCGCTCTGGGGCTGGTGTGATCCCTCAGTGCACAGGCCCTGAGGCCTGGGAGGCAGGATGGAAGGCAGGAGAGCTGAGCCACAGCGCCCTCTGCTGGCGCGCCAGGTCCGCTGCCCTGCGGGTGGCTCTAGGGAGAGCTGGCTGGTTCTCCGTCTCGATGGACGGGGGCCTCAGTGGGTCCTGGCCAGCACGCAAGTCCGTGCCGATGCTCACTCCTTTGGCTGCGCCCTTGACCGTCCATGGAGGCCAGCCCCGTGCAGTTAGGAGGCCCAGCACCTTCCTGCTGCCCAGCCCCCTGCAGACAGCTCACCCGGACACCCTCTCTCCGCAGGTCGCACGGGGCAGGCGGTCGCCGTTCGAGCCAAGGCCTTCGGCTTCAGCGTCATCTTCTACGACCCCTACTTGCAGGACGGGACCGAGCGGGCCCTGGGCGTGCAGAGGGTCTACACGCTGCAGGACCTGCTGTACCAGAGCGACTGCGTGTCCCTGCACTGCAGCCTCAACGAGCACAACCACCACCTGGTCAACGACTTCACCATCAAGCAGGTGCGCCCCCGGCGGCTCCTCAGCCAGGGGCCAGGCCGGGCGGGGCCCAGTGAGCAGGGGCGTCCCCGAGGCGGCGGTGAGGGGCCCGGGAGACGTCCCGCGTGAGCCGCTGGCAGGATCAGCAGGAGCGGACAGGAGATGCCTCCCTCCCTGGGCCTCCAGCTGGCTCCGCCTCCCGCTAACGCTCTGCCCTCTCCAGATGCGGCAGGGCGCCTTCCTGGTGAACGCGGCCCGCGGCGGGCTGGTGGACGAGAAGGCCTTGGCCCAGGCCCTCAAGGAAGGCAGGATACGAGGCGCAGCCCTGGACGTGCATGAGTCAGAGCCTTTCAGGTGGGTCTGGCCCCCACGCCGAGTCCCCCGGCCCCTTTCCCAGACGGGGGTGGTTTGCTGGTCTGTAGACACGGCTCACGGGCCGACCTCACTGGTCCTTCTGTTTGTGCGTCGTGGCTGCTCAGCCTCCCTGCCCGCCCGGGGAGGCGCCCGGGGAGGGGCCAGCTCCTCAGGGCGTCTCTGCCTTCTCCAGCTTTGCTCAGGGGCCCTTGAAAGATGCGCCGAACCTCATCTGCACGCCCCACACGGCCTGGTACAGCGAGCAGGCCTCGCTGGAGATGCGGGAGGCCGCCGCCACCGAGATCCGTCGCGCCATCACGGGTGAGCCCGCCGGGTCACGGCCGGGTCAGCTGTGGGCAGGCCTCACGCTCAGGCGGCGGAGTGAGTGGGTTGGGCTGTTTGGGCGCGTCCCCAACGACGTCCCTCTCGGCCACAGCGGCCAGTGCACCGTATGGGGCCTGCTCCTGGCCAGGCTGCCGCAGGGCTGGTGCTCAGGGTGCGGCGGCCCCTCCCTGGAGGGAAGTGAGCTGTCAGATCTCTCGGCCCCGGAAGCCCCTACCGAGTCTGACGTTTAACCCCCTCGTCCTCAGGAAACGTAACCATCTCGTTCCAGGCCGCATCCCCGAGAGCTTAAGGAACTGTGTGAACAAGGAATTCTTTGTTACAACGGCTCCTTGGTCAGTAATAGACCAGCAAGCAATCCATCCAGAGCTCAACGGTGCCACTTACAGGTGAGGCTGCGGGAGGACGGGGCATGGGCAGCACCTGGGCGGGGGGCATGGGCAGCACCTGGGCGGAGGGCTGCCCCCCTCTGCCCAGGCCTCAGGGCCCCGCCTAGAACCGGGCTCACTGCATGTCAACCCTGCGCCCTGCTCTGGAGGCTCAAGGCCTCGTGTCTGCACACAGCACGTGCTGCCAGCATGTGCCCCTGCTCTGCCTGTCACACGCCAGCAGCCCAGGCGGCCACATGTAGGTGGAGAGAACTCCAGCTGCCTGCTGGGGGTCGAGGCCTGTGCAGGATTCCCGCGTGGAGGGCAGAGCCACACACAGGAGTGGGGGACGCCGTGCTTTGATTAGACAAACCAGGCCTTGTTGCTCATGACTGAAGTCAGTGTTTGAGTTTTTACTTGCTCGGGGGGAGGTAGGCTAATAGAGCATCCCATAAGAGAGACCAGAAGTCGTGGCATTTCCTGTCCTGGACTCACCTGCCCTTCTCTGTGCTCCTTAGATACCCGCCGGGCATCGTGGGCGTGGCCCCGGGGGGGCTTCCTGCCGCCATGGAGGGCATCATCCCCGGAGGTATCCCCGTGACGCACAACCTGCCCACCGTGGCGCACCCTTCCCAAGCCCCCTCTCCCAACCAGCCCACCAAGCACGGGGACAATCGGGAGCACCCCAACGAGCAATAGCAGAGGATGACCAAGGTCAGCCTGGGACCAAGAGACAGTGGACAACAGAGGAGCTGAGAGGAGAGGGACGGGCGTCCGCGCTGTCACCAGTGTGACCACTACAGGAGCCAGAAGCCGAGACGCGGGCAGCGGAAGGTGCCTTCCATCGCGAGGGAGGCCCGGAAAGACAGGACGTGGCTAATTAACGACCAACTTCTGTTACTGTGTGTTAAGTTCTTCATCTGTGCATCCGATCACAAAGAGTAGACCCTTTTCCTTTACCAGCCCCTGGGGCACCGCAGGCCCGGACACCTGGCTGTGCAGAAGGTTGTTGGGTCAGGAGTTCCAAACACCAATAAAAACGTTGCGAGGCAATCCCTGTCCTGTGACTCTCGTCCCTTCGGTCCTCGGGGCTGGTCACCTCTTTGCTAATAGGAAGACTGCATCACTACGGAACCGGGAGGAACCGTCTGCCTGGGTCAGACCGCTCGCTGCACGCACGGACGGAAGACGGTGGCTCCTGGACAGAAGTCTCCCGCCCGAACTGCATACTGAGCGGGCGAGTGGTTGTGAGTTACGTAATACCCTCTAATGATGCAAAAAAAGAAAAAGAAAAAAAAAGTATTAAGTTTCACAAGCTGTTTGTACTCAAATATATTTTCTCAGTTCAGATCCTCAGCTATTTTATTGAGTGGAAAGTCTTGAGCTGAAAGGTTCAAGGAGAATAATGTTGCATTTCCTTATGTCTCAGGAAACACTTTTTATGGTAACTTGTCAGATTGTCTATGAACAAACCCACTTTTTTAGACATTGATAAAACCTTCTTTTCTTCACGTGATATTTTATACAAGAACACTTCAGGTGTGTTATTAGATGTGACTGATTTTAACAAATCCTATTAGATTTGTATCAACTAGTTACATGTTATATTCATAGTCTTTTGTGAATCATTGCCTTTTTGTTTAAAAGATGGCCTATTTTGAGCCTTTGTATAGGTACATTCCTGTTTTTGTGACAAAAACCTTTAAAACTGTCCCAAACAGAAAAATAATGGCTATCAGAAATGTTTTGTTTTAGTGTGAGTTACGTTACTGTATTGTTTCTTGTAAAGGTGGACATTTAGCGTTCGGTGGTTTTCAATAAAAAGTGATAAAATTCTGTTCTGAAATCCACGGGCAGCAACCTCTGCTCGAGACGTTCCAGGCCCTTTGACAGACGCCAGGGGCTGACGGACCGAGGGCGAGCGGGCGCGATGGAAAGCACAGGCCCACGGAAGCCCCTCGGTCAGGCCCTCCGTTCTCAGGATGGAACAGTGGATTAGACCCACGTCAACTCAAGAAACAAAATTGGTCAGGTTTGAGAGTTTGATTTTAATTTTCCTAAAAACAAAATCACCTGGCTCAAGCACTGACACAGGAAGGAAGGTGAATCTCAACATTCTCTTCTTACAACACAAAGAAATGTTGCAGAACAGTTACCACAGTCGTTCCTTATGTGAAGGACGTAACCACCACCCACTCTGCTGGTGCGTCTGAGGCGCCCACAACTGCCAGGCCCTCCTGCGGTCCCCCCGCCCCTCCCCTGCCCCTTTAAGCAGCAGCTGCCTCCCGCTGGGTTTCAGGCGCAGCCCCAGCACCTCCCTCCGTGGTCAGCCATGTGGAAACCATCCCGCAAGGGGCGGGAGGTCCAGGAGCAGCAGCCCATGGTCAGTCCTGGGACCCCAGGCAGCAGAGGCGGGCGATGGGGGGCACGGCAGAGCGAGCCCGGCTGCCAGGGCTGGGCCGGCAGAACTCCCTGCGCAGACCGGGCCTGGGCACCAGGGCCCGTTCCCGGTGCCTGCGTTTTCATTAGAGCGACACCACTCCTGTGTCCTCCCGGGAAAGAGCCAGTCTACCCACAGGCTCGCACGCACGGCAGTCCCGGCCACACACACTTCAGGGAAAAACATACTCGCAGGAAAATAGACTGTTGAAGAGCTGAACATGGCACTGACTCCCCAAACTTCTGGCATTTCCAGCCAGCCTGCTGGGAGGCCACTGGGGCGCAGGGCCGGGGCCGGGGCCGGGGCCGGCAGTCCTCCCACAGGCAGGGGCGCTGCTGACGGCAGAGGTGGGCAGGCACCGCGGGAAGCAGTACCGCTGACCACCACACGCTGGCTCCTTTGCCTGGGAAGGCGGTCTGCTCAGAGCACCTGTGCCAGGGACTGCCCCCGGGAGCCTTGGTCACGTGGGGCGAGTTTAGAGAGATGTTAGTGCTAAGTAGTCAGTGTCAGCTGCTAAAACAATTACTGACCAACGTGAAAACCACAAGAAGTCCGTTTGTAGAAAAGGTTGACCACTCGGAACAGCACATTCACCTTCGTTGTAACACTAGAGGCACGAAATTTGTGCATGGGGTGGGGGTGTCCCTCAGCCCAGCCTGCACTCTCTAATCCCTCTCACAATCCAGGACTGTGGCTCCCAACCACTCTCCTGCCTTCCTGATTGTCCCTAACCACTCCCCTGCCAGCTGACCCGATCGCCCCCAACTGCCCTCCCTTGCAGACCTGGGCCGTCCCATGCCAGCCATCTTGTGTCCACATGGGGGTGGCCATCTTGTGTGTTGGGGTGACGGTCAATTTGCACATTACCTTTCTGTGGAGTCCTGTTGCATGCAGCAAGGGGTCCTTTCATCCTGGGCACAGGGGGAAAGAGCTGAAGCACTGATCACACCAGCCCCGGACATGCTCCTGGCTTTATGGTTCGAGCTTCACACGTCCTGATGCATCGTAATCAGGACTTGGGAACAAGCAAACACCCTAAGGCTTTCACAGCCTCTTCATCAAAGGAAGGAGAGTGTGTGTGTGTGTGTGTGTGTGTGTGTGTGGGTGGCTGCTTTCTGAATTCTCTGCACCTCAACCGTCTACTGGTCAGGAAATGTCTGTGCCTGAGACGGTCTGAGACCCTGACCCTCTGAGGTCTGAATGGGGAACCTGGTGGGTCAAATACTCCTGAAAGGAAGTCTTCTTACCTGAGATTATAATTTTAACTTTAAATAAGAATGGCTCTAGACTGCTCACTGCAAAACTCATTAAGACAATGCACTGACCACCTTGCTGCGTTTTAAATCTTTATTCTGTACTGAACTGAGTTCCCACGTGGGCGAGGCAAAGGCATGCCTTCTAACACAGTTTGCTTCAAGCAGAGCTGATGGTACAAGACACCAGGACCTGAGCCTCCACGGGGGCCGAGCACACGCTGTCCACTGCACCCAGTGGGCAGGTGTGAGCGCGCCTCTGCCTGCGTCCCGAAGAGCCGCTCCCGGGAGGCTGCCTGGCATCGGGCAGAAGCACCCTGGTTCAGGGCGCCCTCCACACAAATAAATACCAAACACGGAACAGGGAGGTCAGCTACAGGAGCAAAACGAACAGCACACGTACGAGAGGAACCCAAACAAGGGAGCAGCGTCCACAGGGAGTTCATTCAATAAAAATTCTTTCCTTGTAGTTTGTTCCTTAAAGATCGGGTTTTATTGGGCACAACAGGAACTAAATTATTAATAAAATAAGTGTTTTATTTTAATGTTTTGCTGTGGACAATTTGTACAAAAAGTTTGCAATCTCTAGGGAGCTCGAGTGAGGCTCGATGTAAATGACTCTTTTAGGACGGAAGGAGGATGCCGGGTTCTACTAAAAACATCTCAAAGGAACAAAGTCATGTGCCTGTGCTTTGGAGGTGCCCATGCTGAAACTCCTCAGGGACATGGATGCTGGTACGACTGTCCTATACACGAGTTCTCACACACCACATGCGCTACGTTACAGACGGTTACGGCGGAAGGCAGAGTTCTGTCTGAATGAGACGGTGTTACAGGCTGCAGCCCGCGCGAGCTGGCCTCGCTCGCAGACGCGCCACCTCCACTGGGTGTGGTCAGAGCCCCCGGCGGGTCCTGCAGCCGCTCGGTCCCAGGCCAGGCCTCTGCCCGGAGCAGCACTCGCTGGGGTCAGCAGAGCGATACCTTGGTCTCCTCTGCCTGCTGCTCACTCATCCTCGTCCTCGTCGTCCTCCTCGCCGTCGGACAGGGACGTGCAGGGCCGGATCTGCCGGTAGCGGTCGAGCCACCTCTCCAGCATGTGCGTGACCAGCGGGTGGCTGCGCCGCCGCGAGCTCTTCTGCATGGCCACCAGCACGCCGCCCTCCGTCACGCAGCAGTCCAGCCACTCGCGGAGCAGCCTCTCCTGCTGCTCCTCGTTGCCCAGCTTCCGGGAGAGAGAGACAACGCAGGTCAGGCTGCTGGTCCCCGCCCAAAGGCACGTGGCTTCAGCCGCCTCCGTTTCTAAGAAAGCCCAGCTCCGTGGCCACCGGAGGCAGCAGCAGGGACAGGCGGACCCCGCGAGGGAAAGCCCTGGTGACGCCCCAGCCACCGTCTCCTGAACCGATCCTGTGAGGAGGCTCAGGCCACGCTGCCACCCTCCTGCCCGGCTCCTCCCGCTCCCGACTCGGGGTCACGCCCCCCACCACCTTCCTAAACCGGAAGCCCCGTGTCCATGTGCTGCCTGGTCCCCTCACCCTGCCCGAGGGAGGGCAGGGCTCCCGGCCTCGCTCCTCGCCCACAGCGGCCACCACCGCCACTGACCAAGGTGTGCGGGTGCGGCGGGGAGGCAGGTCGCTCACCTCCTGGGCGGACAGGAAGTGCACGTGCAGCAGCTTCCTCTCGCTGTCCACCAGAGGCAGGAAGGTGATGGTGACGTCGTCGTCGGTGTTCAGGTTAGCACCAGCGCCGCGGGTACCGTAGCCATCGTTTTCCATGGCGACCAGAGCAGAGAAGTGGCCCCTGGTGTAGCCCAGAGCAATCGGACTTTTCCAGCAAAAACTCTGTTCCCACAACAAAGGCAAATACACACCTGGGGAGAGAGGCACGCGGTGTGGGGATTGGCTGCGCGGCGCTGCGCTCACCACTGAGCAGGCCTCCGCTGGCCACTCACCTTGGAACCGCGTGTACCCCAGCGTCTCGCCCCGGAAGCTCTTGTAATACTTGACGCCGTACACGATGATCGGGCGCCTGAGGATGTGTGCGAGCACGAAGATGTGCGTCTGCTCCAGGCTCGCTCCCGGCTGCGCAGACCAAACGAAGCGTCATTTCCCATTAGAACTGACCCCGCCCCGGGCACCGACACCACACAGCGCGGCGCCTCTGGTACACTCAATGCCACGCGCTTCTCAAAAGCCCATCTGTCCGCGGAAGCCGCACCGGGTCCTCCCACAGCCGTCTGCGCAGGCCCTGACCTCCCGCCCGAGGCCATCAGGCTGCCGGGGCCCGGGAGCCAGGTCCACAGCCGGGGCCCGCTTCCACCGGCCTCCGGGCAGCCCCACAGAGCGGCCACAGGCCCGGAGAGACGTGCTGTCTGTTACTCACTCACTGTCAACACCCCGGCCACCTCCCCGACCACGACTGACCATTCATTCTCGGGAGGCCCCGTCCAGACCACCAGCCACACCTACGGCTCCCCCAACAGCTGCTGGGAGAGGACTCTTGTCTGGGCACCTTCTCGGTGGCCCACGTCACAGGAAGAGCCTTCCTGGCCGCTCAGCTTGACCCTCAGGGCCAGAGCGCAGCCCAAGCGTGCCCATGACAGCCCATGCCCAGTGAAGTCCCCCTCACACACGGGATGGGAGCTCGCCAGCAGGCGTGGAAGACAGGCACAGAGCCACCTTCTGAGAGGAAACCCAAGTGAAAAGCAATCTGAACACACGCAGTGCTTACACACACACACACACACAGTGCTTACACACACAGTACTTACACACACGCTCAGTGTTTACACACACACTCAAGTGTTTACACACACGTGCAGTGCTTGCGGTGTTTACACACTAGCAGTACTTTTACACACACAGTGCTTACACACACACACGCACACACACACAGTGCTCACACACACACACAGTGCTTACACATACACACACAGTGCATATACACACACACACACACAGTGCTTACACATAGTGCTTACACACACACACACACACACAGTGCTTACACACACACACACACACTCACACACAGTGCTTGGTCAGACCAGTCCCACGTCAGCGGACAGGCGGCGCCCAGGGAGGAGCCGTCACTGCCCGCAGGGGCTCTGGCCAGAGTGAGCTCCAGGGCCAGGCCGCAGCCTCCCTCCCTCGCGGGCAGCGGGCACTCAGCTTCCTACCTGGCTGGCGAGAGAGAGGATGAAGGCCCAGTCTTCTTGCCACTGCTCCTCCCGCAGGGAGAAATGCAAACCGAAGCTCTGAGAATACCACGATTCCCAATCTTTCCAGCGTGTGTAAAACCTAGGACAAGCAGACAGTACAAGGCAAGCCTCTATAAACACCACGTTTAATATCCTGTCGTTTATTTAATGTCTAGAGTGAAAAGATTACCCCTTTTATTCAGTTCACCTGGCTTGCAATATATTTTTCAAATTAAAAATGCTTCCACTCTGCTAGCAGCCATCTTTTAACACATCCTCCCTCACCCATAACGTGGCACACTACCTCAAAAGTTCACCAAAACTTCCAACATCAGTGATGAGAACAGCTCACTTCAATTGTCTACTATCGGTCTACAAATTAAAAAACCAAACCAAACCAAAAAAACACTCAAAACCATCCAAGACGCTGCTGAGTCCGATCAGACAGGCCTCTGTGTGAGCACCTGGAGTTCCCGCCTGGTCGCTGGCAATAGCGGGAAACACCTCCTGTCCCTGAGAACATCAACGCCACTTCGCTGAGATTTCTTGTACTAAACAGAATTATTTCTCTAAGATTATCAATTAAACACACACACACACACACACACACACACACACGCGCGCGCGCGCGCGCGCGCAGAAACAATTCCTTCTTTATATTTAATGCCCCCTAAATGCTTCAGCCTAATAAATTAAGAAGAGTGAAAATCAAACTGGGTCATTGGTAGACTGAATTACTAAAAACAGAATCTACTGTTCTTTACATCAAGTATAAAATTAAGCAAAACAAGATACAATTAGGCCAAAACCGGTTTGGCTCAGCGGTAGAGCGTCGGTTTGTGGACTGAAAGGTCCCAGGTTCGATTCCGGTCAAGGGCATGTACGTTGGTTGTGGGCACATCCCCGGGAGGGGGTGTGCAGGAGGCAGCTGGTCGATGTTTCTCTCTTATCGACGTTTCTAGCTCTCTATCTCTTTCCCTTCCTCTCTGTAAAGAATCAATAAAATATATTTAAAAAAAAAAAAAAAAAGATACAATTAGGCTCAAAATTGTGACTCATTGTCTTACAAAACGAGCCAGCTAAGACCTCTGAAATAAGGACAGACATTGAACCTATCCCATCACCTTTCTCTCTCTCTCTCATCCTATATAATAAAAGCCTAATATTTTAAGTGTCTGGTCGTCCAGTTGTCTGTTCAACCAATCAAAGCATAACATGCTAATGATCTAAGGCCACTCAACTGCTCACTATGACGTACACTAACCACCAGGGGGCAGACACTCCAACTGGTAGGTTAGCTTGTTCATGGTGGGATCTGGCTGATCAGGACTGAGAGAGATGGGACGGACACGCCCTGGAGCCTCCCATGGTTCCTCTCCAGCTGGCCAACCTCCCACAATCCTCCTTGGCCCCAATCATGCACTGGTGGGGTCCCTCGGCCTGGCCTGCGCCCTCTCACAACCTGGGGATGTCAGAGAGCCCATTTTGGCCCGATGCCGCAGGCCAGGCCGAGGGACACCACTGGTGCACGCATCTGTGCACCAGGCCACTAGTAAAGAGCTAAAAACCCAGGCCCGTTCTTGTATGTGTGCGAACTCCAGGTGACAGACAAAGCATCAGTTACACACACAAAGCAGGTCGGTGTCTCCACAGGCGCTGCCTGGGACTCTGGACAGGAAGTGCCTGTAGCTTAGATTTTCTAAACCGCCCCGAACAGATGGGCAGGCCGAACACTTGGTTGTTAGAGAAAATTCTCTACTCCAGGTATCAAGGTGGGTTTTTACCAGGAGTGTAGGTTTAAATGTCAAGTGTCTTAGAAATAAAATGTGGATATCCCTCTTTTAAAATACCTAAGAAATGCAAAAGTATGTTTGAATGCACCAATAACAAATACATTGCTTTGAAAAGTTCAAGGAGAAATATAAAAACATAGGAAGTTGCTACAAACCAAAAGATGCGCACAGTTGGAAATTAATTGGTTAGGTCCCAGAATCATTTTATAAATGAGATGGCTAAATCTGCATGAAATTAAGTGATGATGGGGTAGACAAAACTCCTCAAAGAAGACTGTAGGACAAGAAAGTTCAAATAATCCTGCCCACACACAAACACATAAACACTGAAATGCCAGCTCTTTGAGAACAGACAACCAGACCAAGTCCGGGGACGGCGGCCAGTGCGACAGCAACGTGAGTGGCTCAACATTCAAAACCCCATTCCACGTCCGTGGACTCATGCCCTCCCCTGATGGCGCTCCACAACTCCCCCTCCCCCCCCCCCCCCCCCCGGGTCAGGCAATCCGATCCAGTCCCAGAAGAGGGTTTGGCGGATGGATAACATGGATCCTCACGTTTACATGGAAACCAGAGGCCTCGGCACAGCAGAAAGAACACCGCACACAGCACGGACACTGGGAAACAGCACAGCGTGAAGCTAGCCACAAGCTCCTCCTCCTCAGACAGGCCACCGGAGAAACAGCTGGCTTTGTGGTCAGATGATGGTCAACAACAGTCCAGGGCAATTAAATGGGAAAACCAGAATCTCTTCCCTCGATGACGCCGGCACCTCAGACAGCCGCAGGCAAAGCTCGTGGTTCTAAACCGCACACCTCCCATCAGAATGAGCTCCAATCAGATCAAAAACACTACATGTAAAGCCAGACCTGTAAAGTCCTTAGACAGAACAGGAAAGAAGCTTCCAGGTGTTACTTTTCAATTTAAAACAACTACGGCTCATATGCTCAGGGCCCTCATGGGCAGCCGGGAGCGCGTGCAGGAACAGATGGCAATGTAAACAGACGGAAATGCCAGAGATGAGAAACCCCAGTCAGAATGAAGAATGCCTCTGAGGGGCTGGCAGTGGATCGCCCAGCTGAGGAGACACCCTCAGCTAGAGGGCATGACGACAGAAACTTCCAGAAGGGGAAAGAAAGAGAACGCAAATGGAGAGAAAAGAGAATTCCAAACAACTGAGGGTACAGACACTGTGATCTGCAGTCTCACGGAAATAACGGAGAGGTGGGGACAGAAATACCGAGACACTAATGACTGAGAATTCCCACACTGCCCGTCCACATCACACATCCCCGGGGTTAAGAAACACCCAGAGGAAAACGCCAGGACAGTTACAAGGAGGCCTATCGTGTGCAAACCTCAGGAAGCTAAAGAAGTCCTGAACAAAGCGTCCCCGGCAGACCTAGAATCCACAGCCCGGGACAAGAAGTCACGCTTCCGAGCACCCTCAGGGCCCTGGAAACAAGAAAACGGAGTGAGATGTTTTTAAAGTTTGGAGAAAAAACACCTAGAACTCATCCCGTGCGATTCTCGTCGGAGGCCAGTCTTCGATATCTGCAAAGAGGTGGCGTCTGAGGACGTCTGCACAGGCTCCTTCGAGAGGGAAGAGCTAAAGACTTTCTCAGACAAAACCAGAGGTCGCTGCCGTCCTCCTGCCTCACAAGAAATACTGAGCATTCTTTAGAAAGTCTGTCTACACATCAGAAGCTCTGCGCTAATAAAGAGCATCAAACAGCAAAGCCACAGAGAAGGTAAAGCGAGACCACCTACTCTGAAGGACACACTTCCGGGGCCGTCACACGTCCCCTGGGTGACACGGGCTGTTTCCCGCGCGCAGGTGCCACCGTGGCGTGGTGCCGCCGCTGCCCCTGGACTCTCACAGCGAGTGCTCCCCGCACTTCCTGCCTGTCGGCCCCTGCGGCACCGAGACGCACCATGAGACAGCTACACCTCCCGAGGAGCTAGTCTTGGCCTCCCTGTCACCCGCGTGCCAGAGTGCGGCTCAGGGAGCACACAGAGACGAGGCAATGAAGGTGTGTGGAGTAGCCACTGGCACTGGGTGTGTGAGGGAAGAAGCCATGTTTATACTGAGGTAGGGAAAGAGGACACATTTTCAAATGACCCCTCCTACTTACTACCTTCGACAACGTAAGTTTAATTTAGCCTCAGCCTGTTTCCTCATTTACAACTGACTTGATGCTGTACGTGCAAAACCTCGAAAACAGCCCGAGTCATGGTTTCCAGCGCCTGACCCCTCAGCGGGGGCCCTCCCGGTTGAGCTCAGGCCTGTGTTTTACCAGATGCCGTGCTCCAACGCAAAGCCTGGTCTCCAGACTCCTGCCTCAGAAGAAAAAGAACGCACAATACGACGTCAGCTCTCTCCTAAAGGAAGGAAACCATAACCACCTACACAGGCGCAGAGACCGTATCCGTGTACACGGCCCCTCCCACCCTCAGGAATTTCTACGTTAAAGCTCGGCGCCTCACTGCACACCCAGCGTCCTCCTCCGAGCGAGCGCCCACAGCGCGGCCGTGGCGGGGCTCACCAGTGGGAGCAGTCGTGCAGGCTGTCGTGCAGGGCCTTCCGCAGCACCGAGTCCTTGTCGTAGATGCCCCAGGTGGCCTGCAGCACCGAGTCCAGCAGGCAGTCCCCCGCCGTCCGGTTCCAGAGGGCATAGAGCCGGCTGTCCAGGCGTGTGGCCAGCTCCAGGGACCAGTTTATGATCGGAGACTCCTCCTCGAGCTCTGGCGAGGGAGGGAGAAGCATGTTCATTCCGCGCACGGGGGCCCGGGCCCCGGGATGGAGGCCAGAGCAGCTCCCCAGGTGCTAGCGGTTCAGTGTCATCCACCATAGACACCTGACAGATCTGTCAGATGGAATATTCACCCTCTGCATCGCCCACGCTGCTTGTGGCTCTAGATCATTTGTTGACTGATTAAGTTCTGTATTAAAGTTTATTTTCTAAGGTCGGAGTGGAATAAGCAGCGCCTGTCTCACCGCGACCTGGTCGGGTCACGGCGAAGGGCGGAAACACCCACAGCAGGGCGTTTCCCCACGCCCACGCTCTCCTGGGCCGTCTACACTTTTAACTTCAGGTGAACATAAAACAAGCTGGCCACACTGAGCTCTGAAACCAGCCGCCAGTAAAGCACAAAACCAAGGGCAGTTTCCTGAAACCCAGGCGAGTCCCCCGCACCGCGCCCACCTTTCTGCACGTCTCGGTCCAGCACCTCGTCAAACACCTTCTCCTGGACGGCCGGAGGCAGGTCTTCGATATCTGCAAAGAGAAGGCGTCTGAGGACGTCTGCACAGGCTCACATCCGAGCTGCCTCTTTAAATACCTGTCCATTTCATGGCAATCATAGCTCAATAAACATGAAATAAAAGGACAAAAAATAATAAGGCTATCTGATATTCAAATAATACTAATAATTAATGACACAAAGTTATCTATTCTCTTCCAACATTCTCAATCTCTGTGCAGGCCTGTTAATTTTTCAGACTTTAGAATCCTCTTATAAAAGTTACTAACCCAGCCCTAACACAGTGTGGCTCAGTGGTTGAGGGACCCATGAACCAAGGGGTTTCTCAGGGCTCATGGCCACATTTCGGGCTCAATCCCCAGTAGGGGGTGTGCAGGAGGCAGCCAATCATTATTTTTCCCTCATTATTGATGTTTCTCTCTCTCTCTCTTTCTCTCTCTCTCTCCCTCCCTCGACCTTTCTCTCACTCTAAAAAATCAATAAAAACATATTCTTTTTAAAAGGCTTAGTTATTAGTAAATACTCCTGTTCACATCTAGATATAAAAGCTGAAAACACTCAGAAGGAAGAAACTTTTGGTGTAGGGTGCACCAATGCCAACTAACAACATCTCAGGCATTTCCCAATTATCACTGAATGAAAAATGAAAAGTTGCTGCTTTAAAGATACAGTAGAAACCAATGCAACGAGTAAAGAAAGTCAATGATCCTTTCAAAAGAATGCCAGTATCTTTGATTCAAACAACTTGATCTTTTTTTTTTCAATATGTTTTTATTGGTTTCAGAGAGGAAGGGAGAGAGAAATATCAATGATGAGAGAGAATCACTGATTGGCTGCCTCCTGCACGCCCACACTGGGGATTGAGCCGGCAACCCAGGTATGTGCCCTGGGCCAGAATGGAACCTGGGACCTACAGTCCACAGGCTGACACTGTATCTATCCACTGAGTCAAACCGGCTAGGCAAACAACTTAATTCTTAGTTTCAAAGTATTAGGCAGGAAAAGAAGAAAAACAAAGGAAAATGACAAAACTTAAAATAAAACCAAAGGGAAAAACCAATGGGCCAGGCAGGTTTTTAAATGTCTGAGGCCCACAGAGCAGCCAGTCACAGCTGCTGTCCTCCTCCCAGGCCCCCGAGGTCACTGGTCACTTCCGTACACACGGGAGTCCAGTCCTGCCAGACGCACACAGAACAGCTTCCTAACAGAACCACGTGCAGGCTCAGAGAAGCCGCTGTAACAAGTGGAAACGTCCTTTCCCAGGAGATGTGGAGTCACCTGCCGGCAGCGTGAACGTGACGAGGTCGGTGAGGAAGTAGCAGGCGAAGTCCCCCTTCCGCTGGTGCAGCGAGGCCGCGATCTCCCGCCGGATCTGCTCCGTCAGCTCGGGGCACACCATGGCAGGGATGCACTTGGCTGCTTGCTGGGACACCTTCAACACAAAACACACGTGCCTCGCACCTCCCTGCCAGCAGGGGCCGGAGACACCACGTGCAGGCACTACCAGCAGGCCCAGGAACGCCGGTGGTATTGTGTGTGGGTTTTCTTGTCATTTGTTTTTTTTACTTTACACTGCATTGGGTATGGATCATTTCCTTACAGTGCACCAGTACATCATTCCAGGAAAAGAGCCAGTTAGCCTCTGGCTCAGCAATTCCTAAGAATTTACTCCAAAGGAAACATACAAAGAGGCACATATGAAAACGTATGTAAACGCTGCTGTTCCCAAAGGCTCATCCTAGGAGGGAGGGAGGACAGTGCACAGCCTGCATACGACTAACCATCAGGCCCCAATAAAAACTCTTAAAAACGGGCAATTCCAGCTCCTGGGGGAAAGCAGCAGCATTCCCTCTGCTCTGCTGAGAACATTTCAAGTACCCTCACCTGGAAAAAGAAAAGGCGCTATTTCTAACGGGTTAGTTCCTGCTGAATGCAAACCCCTCCCGTTTTTATGATCCTGGATTTTTACCAAAGCACTGGCTTCTCCGTATGTGGGACGGGCAGACGCTGGGAGCCCTGCCCTCAGGACAGGAGCGCTGGGCAGTGCCACCGCAGAGCAGCCAGGAAAGGCTCCCATCTCCTTTTAAATAACCAACAGAGGCCTGAGCAGTGTTGCTCAGTGGATAAAGCGTCAGCCTGCAGACTGAAGGGTCCCAGGTTCGATTCCAGTCAAGGGCATGTACCGTGGTTGTGGGCATTTCCCCAGTAGAGGCCATGCAGGAGGCAGCTGATCAACATTTCTCTCTCATCGATGTTTCTAACTCTCTATTTGTCTCCCTTCTTCTCTGTAAATAATCAATAAAATATATTTTAAGAGAAGTGAAAATTCCTTTAAAAAAAATAAAAAATAAATGACCAACAGCAGCAAATGACGGAAGGTCTGATTCCCATTGAAGTTGGGCTCCTTGCATGCAGAGAATGTGGGTCAGGCTGAGGCTGGACAGGGGGAAATGCTGAGTCCAGGGTGGCCAGACGGCAGCCTCGACCCAGCGGCCTCCCTAATGGAGGCTCCGGGCAGGGGTCTGGAGCCAATCTTCCACAAGCTGCCCACGCGTCAGTTTTACGGGTCACGTCACCCACGTACCACGTGCAGAGAACTCCACTGGGACTGCCCTTCGGGGAGTAAATGTTTCAGTGCATCTCCCCACAGCCTCCAGGGTGCCATCTGAAACTCTCCACAACACTGGGTCCCACTCACCTGATGTGATGAAATTCTCACTACATCTTCACTCCAGGAACCTAATCTTGACTTGACAATGAATTATATAAAACCAAATATTAAATATGTTCAGAATATTATTGCCTGTTTCACACAGTGTTAAATGGATCCCAAAAGAAAATTCAAAATTAGCTTATTCCAATCAGCTAACCTTCAGCCCCTTTCCAAAAACCTGGGGAAATTTTTCCAGAACACAACTTGGACTGAAACAGGGATGCTGCCGACGGTTGGAGTGGCTCCAGGCCTGCCCATCCCTGCGCCCTGCCCCACCTCTGGCCTCTTCCACCTCAGGACTCAGCCTCTCCTTAGGCCAGCAGCCCTAACTTCGGGCCCGTGAACTTGGCAAGGGCCCATGAACTTGAATAGAAATTTTAATTAAATTTAAATCCTCCATTTTTACTAACCTTCTGCCAAAATTTAAAAGGCATTTTTTTATATATCACAAATTTGATTTAGCATTGTGAGAGCTATATTTCAATATACAGTTGAACCTTCAACAACACAGGTTTGAAATGCGTGTGTCCACTTACATGTGGATTTTTCAGTGAGTACTGTAAACGTGCATAGTCATACTCTTTTTTAGCGGTGCCTGGCACGTGGTAGGTACTCAATAAATATTAGTGGAGTGAATAACAGATACATCCCAGCTTCTAAGCCACATATAACTCAGTACTGAACAAAAGCACACACAACGGTGGGGGGGGGGGGGAGAAAACAAGAACACGTTCCCGTCCGTAGAGGAGGGCATGCTGCACACTCACTCACCTCGGTGAGCAGGATGGCGAGCATGTCCTGCCTCTGGAAGCGGATGGCCAGGTGCACCAGCGTGTAGCCAACGTCGAAGGCGGAGGGGCGGTTGAGCAGGCGCACCTCGTCCGCAGAGAGCTGCCGGGCGATGTCGCCTCCCGATGACTTGTAGGCTTCTATGGCAGCCAGATCGCCCTCCACCACCCCTGGAACGGCACCGGGACAGACAGGGCTCAGTTCTGGCTTCCTGAGAGCAGGGACCTGCAGCACTCACTCTGAGCTCCTCCTCTGTGCCCCCCTGGGTCCTGCACACCCTCTAAACAGCCTCAGAGCCAAGTAAACCCACTGGGTTCCCTCCCTTCACTTTCTTTCCAGAACGGAACTGCCTCGCCAGCACCGGCACTTACCTTCCCATCGGTGCGCACCACACTCGTGGGGGTCAGGGGGATCAGAATGGGGGGGGGGGGGGGCCGGTCATCCAGAGGAGCCAGAGACAGGCTCTCCCTTGGCACTGGGCGCCCGGCCCTGTACGCTGCCTTTTCAAAGGCCAATCAAACCAAAGGCTGTGTCTTCCCCACTGGGCAGCTCTGAGACAATTCAGAGCAATTACAGCCACTTTCAATGTTAAGTGCAAGTTAGCAATATTCTGATTCCAGAATCTCTCAAGTCTTTCTTACACCCACTAAGAATTAAAACTTCAGTAAAATTTGAAGCGAATGATTTTGAACAAAAACGTGCTAAAACGAAACATTAAACAACAAGTGGAGGCCGTGTGGTCCAGTGGATAGAGCGCCCACCTGAGGACTCAAGGGTCTCAGGTTTGATTCCAGTCAAGAGCATGTGCCTTGGTTACAGGCACATCCCCAGTAGGGGGCATGCAGGAGGCAGCTGATGGATGTTTCTCTCTCATCAATGTTTCTAGCTCTCTGTCCCTCTCCCTTCCTCTCTGTAAAAAATCAATAAAATATATATCTTTTAAAAACAGCAAGTGGAGAGATACCTTACCAAATCCGTAAAGAACTTTCCATTTGTAATCTCAATACAAATTAACGTGGGGTAAAACAGGAACCCTATTACGAAGCCTTGACAAAAGATAAAGGTGCTGGAGAGCTTCCAATGCACCACACACGGTGCCTGAGACAAAGCAAAGCACCACGACTGCAGGACAGTGAACACGTGTGTGTGTGGGGTGAGGGACGGAATACTAACACTAATTCAAAATATTCTCAGTACACTTCCACAGAATTTTGTTGCTCTCTTGAATTAGGAATTAGATAGATAAGAGCTTGTCCTTGGAGTATGACATTGACACAGTTATTTAAAATGACCAAGCAGCCAAAGCCTGTTTGGCTCAGTGGTAGAGCATCGGCCTGCGGACTGAAGGGTCCCAGGTTCGATTCCGGTCAAGGGCATGTACGTTGGTGGCGGGCACATCCCCAGTGGGGGGTGTGCAAGAGGCAGCTGGTCAATGTTTCTCTCTCATCGACGTTTCTAGCTCTCTCTCTCTCTCCCTTCCTCTCTATAAAAAATCAATAAAATATATTTAATAAATAAAGATGACCAAGCTTTAAAATGGAAACTCAATTCCCACACCACTCAATGCCTGTGTGTGACTCAGAGCGCTACGCTGGCCACGTGAGAAACAGCCAGACAGTAACAAGGCCTCCTAGACTCAGCTCAGTGCTTTCCCACCACATCGGGGAGCCGGAAAAGGCTGGCATTGAAGTTTCAAACTCGGGGCCAAAACCCGTCCTGAAAATCACAGCCTGTCCCCAGGAGAATGCCCCCTTCCAGCCGCACGGAGTGCCAGGTGAGGAACCCATGGAGTCAGCGGGAACGCCTTCTCAGAGGCGTTTGTTTTCGCAGCGCGGAGACGAGGCATTCCTCCGTGTAAAGGCCGCGGACAGCCGGAACCCACCCCAGACAGACAGGGCTTCAGACCACCCGGGCGTGTGTATCTGCGGGACATACGTGCTCCCCCGCTTCTGCAGGCAGACCCAGGGCCCGAAAGCCCAGCCTGGGCCTGCGGAGACAGGCGGGAGGCGCAGACTGCTGTGTGCACCACATACACGCAGCTCCTCCGTCTGAACAGAGGCGGGCACTACAGCTAACCAGCGATCTTGCTTCTGTCTGGGGAAAGGGGTCCCCCAAACCACAGTGTCATCCTTTACAATGTCACCGTCTGCCTCCAAATACAGGGTTCCAACTGTCAACAGAACTTCAATGTGAGCTGTGTGTCCCCGGAGCGGACACGTGTGCGATTCCTAACCCGACAGACAAAACAGCTCCAGGGGCCGCCCCAGCTCTGACGGGCCGCGGGGCGTCCGGCAGAGGGGGAGTGAGCAGACACGGCTCTCCATCCCTCAGTGGGAACTCTCCGACTCCTCAGAACACAAGAAACACAGTTAAGTATAGGCACAAGGTAATATTTAAAGAAAAGCAATTTATTATCCCATGTTTGGGGAATATATCATTTTTTTTCATGAACTATAATTACAAGCTCATTAGTTACTGGTGAGTTTTCAGCTACAAAGATGAGTAAATTCACTACAAATAAAATTTCACAAGAGAATTGCTGATATATTCTGTCCACACTGTCAAGTTCAGACAGTTTCTTGAAAGTGGTGTCCCTGCTCACATGGAGGTCAAAGGGCTGGGCCCACCCTCGGATAACTTCAAGACACGGCTACCACAGGTTCTCCCCTGCAGGGGTAAACAGGGTACGTGCACAGTAACTTATAAAAGCCTTGGAGTTCCTCACGTAACAGCACATCTGCCCCTTCTTCATTTCAGGGAACAAGGTGGAAGAGGTGGCAGGCAGCGAAAGAGCAAATAATTGTCAGGGTCGCTCTGGCCGGAGAGCCCAGATGCTCTGCTCGGACAGCTCACCTGCCTCCAGAGCTGAGCGCCCGCCTCGCACAAACGCTTCCCCACCCCTGCCCTTCCTGGGGGGCACGCTCAGAGGCTCAGAGGCCGACAAAGGACAGCTGAGCCGCTCCTAGAAGATCCACTTTAAGGCTTTAATTCAGAACTGACGGCACGCACACAGGACTGGCTGCACAGGGAGCAGGGACAGATGAAGAAAGGTGTTAGCAGACTTTAAAAACATGAAGACCAGAGAGTAAATGAAGATTCTATATAGTATAGGTTATCTATAGTCCTAAAAGCGGAAGATGCTAATTAGAAGGACATCCTTCCAGAGGAACGAAGCCGGGCTGTGAGGGAGGCCTGGGTCCCGGGCGCCAGGGGAGCCGGTGCTGGCAGCAGGGGAAGGCAGGCCTGCTCTTGCACGGCCTTCGTGCACTGGGCCTCCAGTAAACTATAAACTTGTTAAAGAGAGAAACATGCATATTCTTGTTTGTGAGCTGGGCCAGACTTTAATAAACAGGCAAGGCAAAAGTAGACTGACACTCGTGAGTATGCAGAGCCGTTATCCCTGTATTGGTGCTTATTCGTTGCTGTGTTTTTATCATGAGCAGCTGTGCACCTGCTTCGGCTCCCTGCGTTTGGAGCCACAGGCGTAGCTGGCAGGGACCTCACAGCTACTATGGAACTCCTGGTCGGGAGCTGGAGCTGGCTTGTAGACGTTGGAAAACAGACTTATTTTTCCCCCATGTATGGCACAGTTTTCAAAGTTCTGCCTTATTTTCTTTTATGACAAAATCATCGTGGTAACTAACTTTGAAAAGAATGCCAAATGGTTTAAAAAAAAGCCAGGACTTACCTGAGCCCACCGGGCCAGCCCACCACTACCCCGGAGTTCTATGGTAGCTGTGAGAGCACAGCTCTTATGCTGGGGGTCAGGGTGCACTGGAGTCAGCTTGCACTCTGCCAGGAGCCCTTAAAGAGAAAAGTGCGTTTTAAGTGGGGGTGTTCAGAACGCCCTGCCCGTGGGCAGCAGAAAGCTGTGGCTGCGGCTGCCAGTGTTTGGTACCTCTTTCTCTGGCAGATTCACTCACATGGCTGGTTTGCATATTAACAGGAAACTAGACCACCCTGAATGCCTCTTCTTTATGCTCCTACCTATTTGGCTATCATTCAATCAGGAACTTGGTTTAGTCACAGCAATCTCCTCCCCCACCCCTTTTTTATTTTTTTTGTTAATCCTCATCTGAGAATATTTTTCTATTGATTTTTATAGAGAGTGGTAGGGAGAGGGGGAGACAGAGGGAGAGACATCAATGTGAGAGAAACGCACGGACTGGTTGCCTTCTGCACGCACCCGACCAGGCCCAGGAGCCAGCCTACAACCAAGGTCCCTGCCCTTGACCAGAGCATAACTCAGGACGTCAGTCCACAGGCCATGGCCTCTCCAACCAGCCAAACTGCTTACACACGAGCTGCTCTGTGAATAAAAGAGCAGTATTTTCAAGTGTACCTGCAGGTAGGTGCAAGCTCCATGGCAATCCCCAAAATAGTTTAGCAGACAAAACAAACCACCTTTACATGTATTTGTCATACACTGATCAATGGCAACACATTAAATCTACCACTTCTATTCCCAGAACAGTGCTATAAACCATAACCCTTCAAAAGGCCAAGAGATGGACATCACAATTGGAAATAAGTCCTTAATTTAGACTAACCTATACTGTATCAAATGAGCGCCCACTCAACTCACTCCATAAACTCACCCATTCTGACAGCAGCCTCTTCAGAAATATGAGGCAATGACAGGAAGTCAGAGGCTCTGACTGGCTTTTAAACGCTCTCTTATTAATCATGACAACCATGCCGGGCACAGTTTATCCTGTGGAGCCTTCCTCCTCCTCACCTCCTCAGACTGTAACCACCAGCTGCTGTGGGAACACATGCCCGGACCCCGGAGACAGGCCTGCGTGCGGGGCTCCCTGGGAACCAGAGGCGAGCGGGCGCGGCGCTGGGCGGCAGCGGAGGCCTCACAGGCCCCGCCACAAGGCCCTGTGGACGGTGAGCAGAGATGTGGCCACGCTGTCATGGGTAGGGAGATGATGTGCGCTCAGACTGCACAGGTCACTGAAACAGCGCCATGGGAGTCACCGGGAGACCCTGTGGCTCTTAAAGCCCTAGCGCTCTGGTCACAAAACTGTCAGAGAACCTCACTCACCACTGAAACCAAACCCCAAAGCTCTCTGGCTTCAAGCAAAGTTCCTCCTGCCGCCCTAGCTGGTTTGCTCAGTGGATAAGGCGTCAGCTGCAAACCTAAGGGTCCCGGGTTTGACTCCAT